ACTTCTTGAAACTTAGCAATTGATGTATGGTGAAGCTTACTAATGAGGAACTTAAGAACTCCACTTTCACACACTTAACAAGCTACAAAAAAAGCAAGACACTAATACAAAATACAAAGAAACATAAATTTGATAAATTAAATAAGTTCTTTATCTAATGCAACAAAACAGCATATTACTCACTATTACTCACAAGAAACTTATTACATAAATTAAACATAATTCTTTAGGGTTGGACCAATCTCTGTAGAAAATGTTCCAGGATTCATTTTTTGCAGGGTGGATTACAAAATTGGGTGTCTTTAATTGCTGATACTTTATGTCCTTGACATGTGATTAACTGATTATGCCATATATGTTTCTGCATCTCTATTGATAATGGTTTTTGTTTTGGTGGTTGATCCCGGATGATATGGAGTTTCAATCTGGAGATATTTCCAATTATACTACTTCAGATGGATCGGTATAGTTTAGCCAGATAAAAAAGTAAAGAGCAAAACCTGAGAAACATGAGAGTCTGCAAATTGTCGTTCAGAGGTACTTGGGGTGTCATCATCAGTAGCATCTTCAGCCTTGGTTCGCCTTGCATTTGCAAGGTTCATTTCTGCAGAAATTTGACATGAAAAATAGATTAAATGGTTAACAAAATGTCAATGCTCTTGGAATCAAATCAAATCAAAAGCAGATGAAGAAAACTTTTACCAGTCTGGATATCAGTATCGGGTCCCTCAAATATTTGATTGTTAAAGTGAGGAGGACTGACACTTTCATAATGCTCATACTTGCTCCCATCTTTCACCCAGTCACTGGTGTAGCACTGAAGCAGTTCGTTCAGATGAGGCCACTGCTCCAAATTTTCATCGAGCTGCTACCCCAAAAGTAAAAGAAAGAGAAGAAATTAATGGCAAATCATTTTGACTCTTTTCAGGGAGCGAAGCACAGTATTCTTAAAACTGCTTCTCAAGCCAGCTGATTTCAGCTTGTAGAGGGGAACAAGCTGAAACTAAACTAAAAATTTGTAGCTTTCGAAGAACCTAAATTTGGTAAATTAATTTTTCAAAAATTATTTCACATAATTTCACGAATCAAACAGCATTTTAAGGGAAAACACAGAAGAGAGTATTAAAGATGGAGGGGAACAAGCTGAAACTAAACTAAAAATTTGTAGCTTTCGAAGAACCTAAATTTGGTAAATTAATTTTTCAGAAATTATTTCACATAATT